ATCTCCCACTGCCCATCACAGCCTTTATTCCTCCATGAAAGCCCTATCCCTCCATACACAACAGACAATATCTGTCCCATACCCTACAGCCACTATCCCTTTGATACTACAGCCCCTAGTCATGAAGTCCTGTTTTGACGAGTTTGGTTGAGTTTGGTGCGGAGGAACTCGACTGAGCTGCACAGAACCCTATCCTCAACCCAACTGAAAACATTTGGGATAAACTGGAAGACTGATTGTGAGATAGACCTTAATGTCCAACATCAGTACCTGACCTCACAAATGCTATTCTGGCTGAATGGGCACAAATTATTTTTGCCATATATACATGTGTTTATATATGTATATATACAAATACATTCATACACACACACACACACACACATTATTATATATGTGCAAAACATTTAAAGGAATGCAAATTGATCATTTCCTTTATCTTTCTTAAAAGTCCCTTTCTGTATTGTTTCCTCCCTTTCTCCTTTATCTTAGTAAATTTGTAAATAATACCAGTTCAGACCCATTCACCAAAGCAAACAAGTGGTGGTGGAGCTGTAGAAAGGTGTCAGTGTCTGGGTGATGGAAAGCACACTGTAAGCAAGTGTCAGAGAGGTAAAATGAAGACAGCTAGTGGGAGATGAGAGAGGAAGAGAAAGAAAGGCAGAAAAGTGTGAGACTGTTGGTGAGAGATGTTAAAAGTCTCCAAGGATGGGTGGCTACAGTGAAAGGGGAGAACCTAGGCACTGGGTAATAGACGGTTAGAATTTTAAGGCAAGAGAGATCTGTAGATATAGAATAAATTTGTTTTGAAATTTTCAGACATTTTGGGGGTTCTATTTACAAAAGAGTGATTTATGGTGACTTTAGAACTAACCACAAATCTTGATAACTTGGCTATTTAGTAGTTTGTTTTTCAATAGATTTTCATCAGCAACCAACTAGCTGTTTAGTGAAGAGAGACCATAATTTGTGAGCATGTGTTTGGGTGAGGAGAAACGAGTTATATCTGTTATTTTATATCAGATAAAATGTAACTGTTACTTTTTATGTCTGCAAATGGCTACAGACATTTTTGTTCAGGGAATTGCAAAATTTAGAACAAAGGAACCTTCTATGTTCAATTTCAACTCTTCAACTCAGCAAGCTCTCCAACACTCCTGTTTTGACCTCACATTTATAATCCCACAGTCAATTTTGAGAGTTATTATTATTATTATTTTATTATTTATAAAGCGCCAACAAATTCGTAGCGCTGTACAATGGGTATTACCCGAACAGTGCTATTAAATGTTAATAGTGCAAACATTTGCTGTGGTGTTGCACAATATTAAAATGAGGATTACAACAGGAAGTCATTGACAAATACAATAATGTTAGCAAAAGCAAGAAGTCAGTAGGATCCTGCGTTATTTTTTTATTTTCTTATTCTGTAAAAAGTAAATTTTTAACTGAAAACTGAAATTGCAAAAATTTAGACAAAAATAGTTCAGATGGAACACTAGCTGAGCATATGAGTATTTCCAAAACAGCTATTAAGGGCTTAAATGTCATCACAATTAACAGGTAGGGACATTTACTGAAATCTGAATTCACAGTGGTTATTTAAGGTCAAAGTGATGGGCAAAAAGATTAGCGGTCAGCTATATGTTCAGTTCTATTATTTTGACTTTAAATGTTAATCTCACTTTAAATTCGCCTTGGACTCCCCACAATCCACCAGTTGAGTTGTAAACCTGCAGCTGCCCTACAGATTTAGTCTCCAAACCTGCAGTGAATTTAAGACTGAATTTCAAATTATAGACAAAAAGCTTATTTATGATATAATTGCCCTTCTGTCCCAGCTTGCCTGTTCTGTACAGTTTTCTTTGCACTCCATGTCGGTGTTCTGGGAATCCAAACGTGTGTACAAAGTGAAAGTGTGTGTGCTCGCCTAGCAGTTAGCTGTACACACTGATAAAGCAATCTGCAATGCTAACATGTTCCTCTTAGCTGCAAACACATATTTTTAAACCCACGCATGTGGCATAAGCCGTGGACCCATCAAATAAAAAGGCATTTATTCTCAGATCAAAAATATGCACCTGAATTTACAATTGAAATAGTTACTGACTCAAAACTAATAGTGGAGTCTGCATAAATGTTTAGCGAACTATGTATTGTATGTATGTGTGTTATTATTTTGAATTTATATATTAACCCTTTAATGGCCACTGGTATAACACAACTGGCCTGATATAATAATAGAGAGAGATTGTGTGTGTGTGTTTGTATGTTGTAAAATCCAGAAAGTGACAAACAGGACTTCTTGACCTAATCAAATGAGAAGTGCAAACAGACCCTCTTGACTTGGACTCTTGATCTCTCTTTAAATATAGACTTGTTTATCAGTGTCATCCTATGAGGATTAATTAGATACATTTATTCACAATTTGGTGTCTGACACCACAGCTTAGGAATGCCTTATAATCACAAGGTGTTAATTGGGGCCAGGCAAGCACTTACATTTCTATTAAACAGTGTGAGAATTTTTACAGTGCCTGCATCTTTTTTTCCCTTTCTTTGTTACATAAACGCTGCTCGTTTGTCGTTTATCATATTATTGAATTGAGTTGAGGGTTTTTTCTGATTTAAAAGTCCACAAGCTCAGCCCTGAATGTGAATATTTGGAGAGCTTATATCAACTCAAGTCCTTTAATATAAATCGTGTCAATAGGTGAAAATGTAGTTTGGATATACACACATGTATGTGACATTCCTAGCATTTACGTGTGTGTGATATTGATAGATTATATATATAGAATAGATACCTAGATTAGATAGATAGACAGAGAGACAGACAGACAGACAGACAGATAGATAGATAGATAGATAGATAGATAGATAGATAGATAGATAGATAGATAGATAGAGATACACACTGCATATATGATGTGGGTGTCTGTGTGTGTGCTTGTGCGTGTACATATAAATATGCACACACACTTATGTTTACTCAGTTACATTGCCGACTATGTAAAGATGCACAATGCATTTTCATTAAAAAACAGTATTGCTATACTGTTTACATTTTATTCTTGTTATAACGTATTCCACATTATCTGTTTCTTCACACTGTAACTACATGATCGTACACGCATAAATTAGACTTACACACACGCACATCTTGTATTTCCGCTCCAAATAAAACGAGGTTAAACTGTCTAGAAAATAATTATATATTATTATAATTAATACTATTATAATTGTTGGTATTTTTATTATTATTATTCGTATTTATATCGTGCCAACTTATTCCTCAGTGCTTTACAATATTACAAAGTGAGACATTTAACAATAAATGAGACAATTACAAAATGTTACAGGAACAATAGGTTGATGGGGAACTATGTATTGTTTTTCTACTTCCTTAATATGTATAGAAACAGAATTCGTAGAATCAAGTTCAAAGAAGACGAATTCAGTAATGAAATGCAGTATATGCTTCTAGACAAAGCAGGCAGAATTGTGAAACTGGGTTCTGCATGTGGATCAGTCATGTAAATGACAATACGGTGTGATATTATTGAGAATCTCCTTTATTTTGCATGTCTAAAATGGGGCTGTTTTCGAGCCTTCTTGTTGTTTGCACGACAAGCAGTTTAATCTCATTAACTTCTGCATTTCCTGCAAGAGATTTCTTGCGTTTTCCTTAATTTGCTTTTATGCAAAGCCTGTAGTGACACGATTTGATGATAAAACCACAGGGACCTGCGATTTAATTTTATCTTAATTACATCTATAAATACAGCGTTACAAATTAACGAAATAAACCCTTCCAGGTGTGCAGTAGAATTACCTACTATTTAATATTCTGCTAATCCATAATTTACTCTGAGTTTGTCAAACAGATTATTTATTAACATTTAAACAGGTAAGTGTGTTTAGTAATTTCCTGTAAAATTGCAATTCTTTCAATTCAGTTTTAATATTAAGCCCTTGAAAATTAACTCTAATTAGCTAATCGATTAACAATTGCAGATTCATCTATCCCTCTTAATGCAAACGAGTACGTTGAATTCAATTTGAAAATCTACAAGGAACAAACTAGAAAAATCGATAGGCAATCGGAATTTTTTCTAAAACTTACTTGTTTTAGCCTAGATTTTTGAAGTTGGCTGTTAATGTAAATTTAAAGTATATGTTTGATTGATTACATATTTCTTTAAATGCGTACGCAGAACCGTTTTGTTTTTTTATTATCTATTTATTTATCCTTTTATATATCTATTGATTGCAGTGCAAAACTAAATATAAAATTATCAGACTTCGTCACCTGAATATATTTTAGTAAGAGACTATTAATATAAATTGACATGTACTGTTCATGTTTTTTTAATTTATTTGTAATTTGGATTTCATTTGTACTTAAATCCATATAAATGTTTGCGGAAGAAAAATTTAATAAACTCAAACAATGAAATGGATGTAGTTAATTTACAATTGTTTCTCTAATTTATTAATGATAAGTGGATGTGTGTTTTTGCTTTGTTTGTTAATTTGAGTTTTTGTATTCAATAAAATGCAATTCATACTAAAAATGCTAATACTAATAATTAACAAAAGAATAACAAGGAACGTTTGTATATATGTATGTGTGTGCGTCATTAAATAATTATATTCTGTTTTTTTAAAAATAATTTCTAATGTTGCTAGACTTGTTTTTCGATTAACTTTGTACGAATCTTATTAGAATAATTTAAAATTGATTTACTATTCGACGTAATGAGCAAACGCTACTTATTTCTTTGGATAGAAAATGAAATACTTGTTAACACAATGGTTTTTGGATCAGTGTATACAAATACACAGAAAACGAGATAAAGAATAGCGTGAAGAGAAGACAGAAGAGATAGGTAAATAGGGGATGAAGGGAAAAAATAATATTTTATTATTTAGATTCTTATCCGCCAATTACCCAAGTTAATTTAATAATACATAATTAATTCAAAGCAAACTTTTTCCCCATGGTCAACACATTTATTAAAAATGATCGAACAATATTTACAAATAAAATTAAACTCACACCAGATTAACCAATAACCAATTTTACATTATTATTTTTTACAATATTTGCCATAAAAGACAGTTTGTTTTTTTAAATGTCCCTTTTCCAAGACATGGTGGAAAATACATTCTGACAATGCGATTTAAATTTTCTAGATATACATTTTTTTTCGTGTGCTAACCAATACATTGTACAACAGAACAGTGCATTTAATGTCTGGTAAATCATTAAATATCAATACACCTCTTTGCATACAATATATTATACTCCACAATATGCATTATTCGTATATCTACACAGACTGTACATTATTCGCCTGTCATAAATAAAAATCACAAAAATAACAGTAATAATAAAATTAATAATATTAACAACAATAAAATAAAACGAGAATAATGACGTTTTATTAACACGATCAAGCAGATTTCAACCACTTTTTAATTTTTTTTTCTGTAAAATGAATCTTGTTACAGTCACAAATCAAATTGTGTCAAGGTTTCATCTGCAGAAGATCAGAGACTTTTTGGCACTTTCAATTTCAGAGAGAACTGCAAAGAGTTTTTTTTTTTTTCTCTTCTTGAAAGTATATTAACCATACACTTTTTTGGCATTTAATGCAAAGGTCCATCCAGTTTCATTTGAGAAATTAGACTAATATATATTTATATAAATATATTTATATATATTCCTTAAGAGCTAGAGTAGAAGGCATAATAGCCCAGTCCCTTAGACGCATCTTTATAGTCCTCTGGTGCAATATCTTCACATTTTATAGGGGGTGAATTTTCATTACTAGATGTGCTGGGAGAAAGCCTTCTTCTCTTACATGCCCCTGTGTAGACCCCAGAATCATTGGAGTCCAAGGATTTTATGGAAGGGGGAGTTTCCACCCACGAGGAGCTCATTTCTTCTTTGACCTTATCCTTGGCTAGAAGATCTTCAGAGAAAGTAGGTGGGCTTGACCTTGAAGACCAAGGTAAACCTGTGGTCATTTTCCTCTGGTATGGAGAACCCCTGCTCCCCCACCCAGTCATGGAGGCAAAGGCTGCATCGGGGTAATAGGCCATGGGGTGAGAGGTTTGGAGAGGCAGAGACTTGATGCCATAGGTGAGAAGAGAGCTGGAGGAGTAATCTGTCTCATATGGCCCCATGTCCAGTTTGTTGGCATTGGCCTGTTGGACTGGGGTCACAAACCATCTCTGTGGTGGAGCAGTGGCAACTTCTTCTGCGCCCTGGGGGGACAGGAGCCCACTGGTTTGGGGTACAGTCCTCTCCCCACTGTAGTACCTGGCAGCAGGGGGTAGGTTGTTGACAAATTGTTCTTGGAAGAAAGGCTGGACACTGTAGCGGGCCCCAGGCACTATCTGATGGGATCTAGGAGAATCCGCAGGAGATGGTGTTAATCTGTCATTCTCTGAGGCCGTGTACATGCTACAAAAAGAGATACAAGTCTGATATCACTAGGAGAACTGGCTAGTACTACTCAATCCACCCATGTTTACTATTGTCATCTCACTTTTTGGAGATTTTTAAAAAAAAAAAAGCAAAATGGTACAAGATTCTATAAATGGATTTAAAAAATGTTGATTTCCCAGTTTAGAACGTTAGTCCATAAACCTCCAACAGGGTTTCAGTTACTACATATTAATGGTCTTTTTTCATCACAAATGGAGAAAATTAGTCAACTATATGTTGACTTTAATTAAAGAGTATCTGGTTAATTCGGTGATAGCTTAGTTTAGCCAAACAAAAATATATAAATCACTATTTTTTTTTTTATCTCTTTGTCTCTCTCTCTCTACCTTTCAGTCTTTCTTAACTTATGTTATGTATATCTGTTTTGGAGTTGAATATTTTGAAATCAAACATCACAGTGCCTTTCTATTTAGTTTTATAGAATCTTTCATTCTACAAGCTCTAAATATTGATAAATATTAAGAGATATAGAGCTTAAAAACACATACATTAACATAGAGATGTGGAATAAGAAAACAACTTACGAATCATAGTTATCTCTGAAGCCTTTTGCAAAGGGATTGTGGTCAATCTTGAGTTGAGTAATCTGAAAATATATTTATACATGATTAAGTTTTGAAAGGGAATGCAGATATGCAAAGCAAGCAGGTATTTTCTGGAGGTCAAGACACTCACATCAGTGTTCTGGTAGGCAGTGACAGCAATAAACTGGGTTTCTGGGAAGGTAAAGGTCTGTGTTTTGGCAGAATCATTCAGATCTTCGACCCCTTCCTCACTCACTTCAACAATGTGCAGGCGAGGCTGATACTTGTGTAAGGACTGCAGCACAATCATCTGAAAGGAGAAATAATATGAAACATTATATTTTTAATTTTCTCCTTTTAAGACTAATTTCTTACAAGGAAACCATCCGATTCACTTAAAACTGTGAGGATTAACTTACACCCATTGATTCCCTTAGATAAAGTCAGTGACAGTGCTATTAGTTTTGTTTAAAATAATCAGTAATTAAGGGGAGCTATGAGCATCCAGCATGGGACACATTAATAATCTTCTTGTTCTAATGAACGAATAATTTAGGAGTGTAGAAGAGGAATGGGTGCAATGAACCGATTTAGAACTAACAGGTTAAACTATTTGTTGTAGGACGATACAGTGTATTCATTTAGTGGGATTTGTAATGCAGTATTGCAGCTGCTAGTGTTTAACCCATTACTGGCCACTGTGTGTGCCTTGCATTTGTACATTTGGATCCCAGTTATGGATGGGGACTGAGAGCTGTCCAAGGTAGCTCCTTACCTGGGTGTTGTTGTTATTTGCCCCCTTGTTATTAGTAAGTTTCAGTTTCCCGAAAGAAATCTCCTGTCTCATCCAGTGTGCCCCAGTATTGGGAGATTCGGGGTGCACATACACTTTATTACCTATAGGGAGAAAATAAAACATTATAGGCCGGGCATTTTGCAGAGGCTTATTTACTAAACACTGAGAAAAAAATTCACTAAACTGAGACATATAGAGATGGACTATATATTACTTTACAAGAATGTAAAGTAAATGTATATAATACATAGCAATATCTATCTATCTATCTATCTATCTATCTATCTATCTATCTATCTATCTGTCTGTCTGTCTGTGTCTGTCTGTCTGTCTGTGTCTGTCTGTCTGTGTCTGTCTGTCTGTGTCTGTCTGTCTTTGTCTGTCTGTCTTTGTCTGTCTGTCTGTGTCTGTCTGTCTGTGTCTGTAACTAATACATGGAAATGAACTATAAAGAGACTATCGAGAATATCAGTTTCAAACATTTACAAAAACGCCTGGAGATTATTCACTAAACAACGAGTTATGATGACTTGCCAACCGATTTTGCAAAGTTCGAGCCACATTGGCGAAACTGAGACAAGCTGTAGCCCCCTCCCCCCTATCTCTGCTATATTGGTGTACACTTTGAAAGTCGGTCTTGAAGCGAGCAGACGTCATTGTTTTGAACCAATATTTATTAGTTCCTAATTTTGGATAATTTTATTAAATAGTTAATAATATTATATATATATGTATATATTGTTAATTTTTTATTATTTATTATCTTGGATCATTTGTATAAGGGTTGAGTCACTGAAACAAATGATAACTTTAAATAAAATCCTCAATGTTAAGCAATAATATTGAACTGCTAGAATACATAAAAATAAAATGTCCAAAATCTACTTAAATAATGCTAAATTATTTGAATTAACCTCTTTTATCCATGTGATCTGCAAATGGATATTATAATATTCAGTTGAAATATTATTGTTGGAACTAATCAATTGTGTTTGTTTGTCTGTCCTGATTAATCTGTATGTAGGTCTTTCTGACTGTAAATTTAGACCCCATGTGTTTATCTATCTTGTTTCCCTCTGGAATGTAATATTTGTAAGAAATGAGCTGAGAGTTAGAACGCTCAGTCTGAGAAGGACACTAACCTTGCATGTTGTTGTCCGCTTTGCCACATGTCACCCACTTGCCCCCTTGGAAGCGCCAATGATTTGGGTCAGCCAGAACCACTTCTACAAATACATTGTAATGGGCAGTGGGATTTAACCCTGTGATGTTAAAACTGAGAAAAGGAAACATCCTCCTGCAAAAACATACAAAAAAATGCACTGTGTTATTTCACATAAAAAGAGGCAAAAAGACATACAATAACAAAAAAAGTTAAAAGAAAAAAAAAAACACAGTTATTATATAGAGTTATACTGGAACCAAATTGCACCAAATTAGCCAGCTTGGCATGAATTTTATCTTTCAGTTGCTACAAAGGTGATAGATGTTCAAAAGCAGACCCCGGCACTGAATGGGTTAAATGATCAGCCCTCTTGTCTCACCGGACACAAAAACCAAAGTGTCTCACAGACACCAAGGGGGTCTCATTCATTCCCAGGCATCATCTCACTGTGGGATTTAAATACATCCCATTATAAAATGATATTATGCTGGATATATGCTATTACAAAGGGATAAACACACACCTGGACAAAAAATATATAGAAACAAACAAAAAAGCAACAAATAGCTTATAAAAAATGATATAGCAGCTAGGGCACCGCTATTATTAAATAGTTAACAACAAAAAAATAAATGTCAGTTGAATTTATTCCTTAACTTTGAGTCATTTGTTTAAAGATTGAATCACTAAAACAAATTATAACCACTTTAGAAAATCCTTCATGTTAAGCAATAATCTTAATCTACTAGAACAAATAAAAAAAGAAGATGTCCTAAATCTATCAATAAAGAAATTCAGGTGTTTACAAAAGAGCCTGTAGATTCTGCGAATATTTACTAAACGGCGAGTTATGATGCCTCGCCAGCCGATTTTGTCAATTTTGAGCCACTTTAACGAAACTGGCAAAATCTGTAACTATTTCTCATTATTTCTGCTATATTGGTGTCAATTTTAAAACTAAGTCATGAAGCGATCAGAACTCATTGTTTTGTAAATAAGACCCAATATAAATGTTAAATAATTAAATTCAGGATAAAGCGATCGCACAAAGTAGATACGATGCAAGAACCAAACCAAATCCTGTTCCATTAATGGGTGACATGCTAAAATAGATTTATAGTATCAGTAGCCAGATATACTTTGTTAAACTATAAGTGATTAGACATCAGAGATTTTTACTTAACCTGTAAGTGATCAGTAGACAAGGATACTTTGTACATCTGCAAATTATTATTAGTTCATAGAGATACTTTGTAGTACAGTTTTACTATAAGAGATCTGTTGGTATAGACACGGTGTAATACTTTGTTATCATTTGGTAGAGAAACTATGTTTATACTATGAGATCGGTTGGCAGAGATACTATGTTATACTAGATCAGTATAATTTGGCAGATACTTTGTTTTACTATGAGATATAATATGACAGATACTATAAGAGATCATACTATGTTTTACTATAAAAGATACTGATAAACACAGCTGATTGCTGCCCAGTGAATTTGCCAGTCCTTACCTGCCCTGTTTGGTGATGATCATCTCAGTCTGGTGACGGTGAAACTTGAGCCACAGAGGGCGGTTGCAGAGGAAGACTTGCGCCCTGACCCCAGCTCCACTGGCCGGCAGTCCGAGAGCATTCAGCCCGCTGTTAGAGCCCGCTGCTGGGTAAGGGCTGTACATGGTGGCCGGTGCCTGCCCATACTGGTACCCCGTGGGGTACTGAGGGCGAGAGGGGCACACAGGAGGAGAGAAGCCGGCAGGGGGCAGCATGCTGCCATAAGGGGGGTACCTGGCTGCACCCCCTGCTTGGTACACGGCGCTGTGCTGGGGTGGTGCATAGGGGAAGATGGAGCAGGGGGAGCCCAGCTCTGCCCCTGCCTGTTGGGGCTGCTGACCCTGGCCTTGCAGGTAGTATCTCTCAGAGGCTGCCTGCAGGCTGCTGTCCAGGTAACGGGGGGCTGAGGTTGGGGCCACTGAGTTCATGTCCTCCTCCCCTGTTGGGGTTCCTTTACGTCCACTTTCCTGCAGAGTCTTGGTGGCTGTGAAGCCTTCTCCAACCTCTCCCAGCATAGAGGGGGCAGCTGTACCAGTGCTTCCAGGGTCTCTGGGGCTGTCCAAGTGGAGCCCTCTGGTGTATTTCTTTTGCTGCTGCTGCTGCTGTTGTTGCCCCTTGTGTTGCCCCACGCCGAACTCCAAGCCTGGGCTCTGAGCAGCAGTGCTGGGGTCTCCAGGCAGAGGGTAGAAAGTGTGGGGCAGGTTGGGAGCAGAGCTGGTCAGTATCTGCTCTCCTAGCTGCATCCTCTGGCTGGGGGGATGGAGTCTCCTTCTTAGTCAAACCCTGAGCTGGAGAATGATGCACACAGCATGCACCGAGAGAAGCCCCCTTTCAGAGTGATGAATGTCCCATAGGTGTCTCCCCAGCAGATGAATAGTTTCACAAGAACAGGAAGCCCACACAGATCTCCTTTACTTGAAGGGGAAAATCAAATGTGTCAACCAGCAGCCTCTGAGCTTTTATATACCATAGGCAACTTCACACCTCCATTAGGGCTAATGATTCCATGGGAGGGGCTTGCTGTTTCTTTCATTGCAAGATGCACAGACAAGGAGAAGAGGGAAAAAAAGCCTCGCAGCCCACGGCCTATTGGTTGCTTTCTGTGACACTAATTTAATTAGACAAGTCCTAATTGGAACATGTCACCTGTGCCTCTCACTGGCTGCTGAGCAGCAAAGATCAAATGCACTCTGAGCAATTATTTTTACCATAAACTCGCTGAAAAGGAGAAGGTTGGGGCTAAACTAAAAAAAAAAGTCCAATTTTGAGCTGTTTAAACCTCCCTTTGTAATTGTTTGTTTGGATCAGACAGCCCATTCATTGAGCTTGTATTGTCCCAGAAAATACCCAGCTCTTTGATGGAGCGAAAGGCCAGCCGCCAGGAATTGATCTGATCTCTGTTTAAGCTAAGATCCAGGCAAAACTGGTGTCACATTTACACACAAATTGTAACTGGCCAAGTCTTGGACACAATATTTCACAAATCATAGTGACTGCATGTACATAGCTAAAATCCCACTCACAGTCCCTCCCTTCCTCTATCTCTATCTGTCTCTTCCCCTTCTCTCTCTCTCTTTCTTTCTCTCTCTCTCTCTCTCTCTCTCTCTCAATTTTCTATCTCTTTTATCGTCTTCCTCTTTTTGTCTTTCCGTGTCCCCTTTGTTTCCTATTTTCTTTTTGGTTCTTTTTCATTTTAACACCCCCTCCTCACCCTGTCTGACTCTGCCTTATATATCTCCTTTTTTTCCAAGTCATTTCAAGACGACCTAACAAATTGCCACATGACATTTTTTATGTATTTTATGTATTTTACTTATGTATTCCACAATCAACCAGAGCAATATATTTCTCATAACAAGTAATTGACACTTTAATCGCTTACACCAGTGTCTTAAAAAATTACTTTAAATTAAACACTCACAACAACAACAACAACACAATAAACACAGTTTGGTTTTCGAGATGCAGGTAGCTAGACCAGGTACCATTACTCTAAAATTATTTTTGTAAAGACAGATTTCTATCCACCAATACTATTAATAAATAATTAATCAGACGATAATAATTACTCAGACAATAATAATAATAATAATAATATTAATAAAATACAAATATATTCCTTTTAAAAGTATAGAAGGTACAGGTAACCAGAGATAAGTTCATTTAATGCAGAATTGTGCTATAAGCTAATATCTTGGAATGTCGTTGTCTTTTATTTTCTTATTGTGACCTTGACAATGATTTGTAACACCTCTTTTATATCAGATGTGTATTTATCTTCCCCTTACAAAAGTTCACATATTTGCATTAAACAGATATTCTATGCAGGAAACATTGCAAGCTTTATGTTAATTTATTTTAACGAAAGAGGACACTGAGGAATGACAATATATATTTAAATTGAATTAGTTGTATTTTTGTTGTCATATAATAACCCAACTTCCTTCTAATTGTTCTACAGTTTGTAAATTCTTATTCCCTTTTACTGATGTCAAAAAAGTGAATTCGGTAAAATATGAGTTCCCTTTGTAATTTAAATTCTGTAAAAAGCTGGAATCCTCTGGCTGAAAGAGAAATCTTCACTTTTGCTTTTGTAATATCACATTGGCTGAGCTGCTAGCATTGTATACATGAGGGATTCACACTATTCTTGAAAAGCCAGCAGAGCTACAAATTCGCTCAGAAAGTACCTTGAGCCTCTGCCAGGGACCCCAGACACAGCAGTTGGGGTATAACAGGGTTGAAATTGTTTTGGGACTACAAGGAAAAGGTTTTGATAAATGATTTTCACAGACATGTAGGTAAAGAAACATAATCATTCTGAGCCATTTGTCATGCCTCCAATTTCTTTTTTCTTTTTCGTTTCTTTATATCCATAAAAATAGAATTTTGAATAAGAGGATAGTGATCACAGTTTATATATATGAGGGCATCTTGGTGATTTTTCATGAACAGTCTCTTGTCTCATTCTGAGTTTTTTTTTTTTTCTTTTCATTTTTTTATGTCACTTCGGGGCATTTCTCTGTATGTGGTATATTCTGTGAAGGGGAAGCCAGTGAGATTTAGAGAATGGGGCATTTGTGACTATTTCCTAATATACTACTCTCATCGTCACCACAACAACTAATGATGAAATGGTGAAATACAAACAAGAAGATGTCAAGATTTTCAAGGCTAAAGTGAGAATTCAAAGCGAATTTAAAATTTAAGGTCAAAGTAGCAGAATTAAAAGTATAGCTGATTTAGATCATTTTTCCTGTTTGGCTAGTTTGACCTTACATTTAAAATTAAATTTGAATTCACTATGAATTCTCAGTTTAGTGTATAATCCTGCTGTTTTTTAATGGGTATTTAGGATGACCTAGGACAACATGGGCATTTAGGATGTACTAAAACAAATAGGTCGTTAAGGATATTATCTCCCATTATATCAAGATACCACATCCTCATCTACAATATGTTATACATCACTTTTATGTCTAAAGAAAAAAAAATTAAAATAATAAAAAAAAGGTTTAAAAAAGAAAAATAGCACTCTACAAACATATATTTGCCTTTGAAACATTAATTAAGTCTTGTCATTTCTATCATCTAAAGGTTTTTTTAAAATGATTTTTATTTAAAATTTATTACAAAGGCAAATGAAATATGAAATGGTCATGAGTACCAACTTAGACGTTATAATAAAATGTAAACGTTATTATTTTAGCACTGTTCTTGTTGGTACTCATATTAACCCTTTCAGTGCCAATATGTATGTGTGCTTTATTTTGGAATGAGATGGCCATTATCCCTTGTAACATAATAATGGTGTCTTCTTTAACTCACAGGGAAGATTTAAACTAACACGGGCCAGTGGGGGGTATTTGTGTGGTTGGGGTACAAGACTTGTCTCTTTTATTTGAGGCTATAATCTGGATAGAAAGGTTTTGTTAAATATTCAAACCAATTGGTGGTGGGGCTTAGAGGGAACAGCATCGATTAGGAACCAAACTGAGTCCTAATTATATCCTGTGATTTCTCTGTTTAAATCAAGTACACAAGGTGTCAGGGCCAATATGGCAAATATTGAACGCTTTATTTTTTAACTAAACAAATCCTTTAAGCGATCTGTCGATTTTAACCCCTTCACACACATCAGACTGTTATGATAAAAAGGGAGTGCTTCTAACTCACTATCATAAGAGGTTTAAACTGAACTCATTGTGTGCCTCACGTGGGGCCTTTAAATCTGCTCAAAAATACACACACACACGTATAAAAAAATACACTGGAAAATCATATTTTTAAAATGTTCTAATTCTTCACAAATGTAATTTTTCTGTAAGAAATGTACCAAATCAGTTAGTAACGATTATCAGAATCTTGAATGTGATCTGCGTACACAAAAGGTTTATTTATTAAAAGTGTTTAAAGGTTTGTTGTAGGAGTGTGACAGCTACAGTATAAATTTAGGCCAAAGGAGACAAACTGAAATTGACTAATTGGCTCCGAAGGTTTTTTTTTGTTTGTTTTTTTGACTGATTTAGATTTAGTAAATAGATAATGATGTCATCTCAAGTCACAATTAAGTCAATTGGCCTCTAAATATATTTCCATCCTAATCTCCATTCCCTCTAAAACTGCTAAAGCGTTTCAGTGTTAGAAGTGATGATTAAGCATTTGGCACCCTCAGGGTTAAAAGGACATTGTGACATGAATGTTGCCTCAAAGCAGGTGTCATAAAGTCTTGTAGTAATATTGTAGTAATATTAATATTGTTTATTTCATAACTTTCTCCCTCTCTCTTTCACACTTATTTATTTATTTTAATAAAATCACACTTAGATCCTGTACACCCCATACACAGTCAGGGTTATTTACTAAAAATAGGAATTCAAACTGAATTTAAAATTTAAGGTCAGAGTAGTTGAACTAGAAAACTCTAAGTCAGCTATGCTTTTAGCTCGGATACTCTGGCCTAGAATTTGACATTCTCTTTGAATTTATAGGGATTTCTCACTTTAGTAAATAACTTTGTGAATACTAGTTGTCTAGTTATCTTTAAATTCTTTAGCCCCAACTTTAATTCTAATTCTAGTAATGTTTTAGTATGTGTCTCTGTGACTTCATGGATAATATTAACGACCCATGCTTTCATATAGTAACACTATGTAGTCCCTTGCTCATAGGAAGACAAAACAATGTCTAGAGAATGTTAAAGGTATCCATAATTTCAATAATGTAATATATTGCACAAATCAGCAATCACTGGCACTCACAGCATGTCACAGCATTAATGCAGGTAAAATAAATTACACACACGCTCAGCATCATGGGAAAAGTAGTCCACCATGTTCAGTCAGTGACAGGCCAAGCCATCAGTCAGTGACAGGCCAGAATCCATCAGCTGTGTCCTTTGCTCTTGCCCAGCCAGCAGTACCTGTGTACATAGAATGTCAGCCTGGGTTTCAGTAATTCCAGCACTCTATCACCATGGAGCAGAGATTTGCATTTACACCTGCTGGTCACGTGCTGCCTCTTTGCTCGTTACACAGAGCCAACATTCTAACAAATATCCGGCACATTATTCATCAGAGCACCAGTCATCCACAATGAGATTAGAGTGTGCTGTCACACCTCCTACTGTACACCAGGGAGCGTGTCTGCTGTGTGTGGGGGAGCTCTGCCTCCTACAGCATGTCATCTTCTGGATGGAAGAAGAGCAAACTTTAAAATAACCCTTTCAGATGTTACCAGCATTGACATGATAAATAACATCCATCCATCTATCTGTCTATCTATCTATCTATCTATCTATCTATCTATCTGTTTATGTTTGTCTGTCTGTCTCACTCTATCTATCTAAGTGTAAAAAAAAAAAAAAAAAAGCAAACCACTGATTGCCAAAACTGTGCAAGTTAATATTCACTTTGCTACAT